CTCACTCCTTTAACCCGCTCCCTTTGGCGCTGACTTCCCGCCGGGGCTTCGGGGTTCAACCCCGCCCCGCCCCCACCCAAGTCCTGGGTTCGAAGACATAGTTTTTCTTTCTTTTTTTTGGTTTTGTTTTACTTCTTGAAATGGAAGCTCGTAAGGCTGGAAACTTCCCTCTGAGGTAACGCGGCCCCCTGGCCAGAGCCCCCAGCGGATGCGGGCTGGGCGCCTCCCGAGAGGCCGGACTGTTCCGCAATCAGCAGGCCGGACCCTGAGCAGCCCTCATCCCCGTGTCTCTGCAGCTTCCTGACCCTGAACATGTTGGTTTTGGATCCTTGGTTCGTCAGGGCGTTTTACTGGGTGCCTCTCCCTTAAAGTTACTGCTGGGTTCTTCTTATCCCCCACCCCCGGGTTCTGACGGACTTATTTCTCCTTTAATGTTGGTCATGAATTTAGTTTCTTCTCTTATCCTTGGGGGCACTGGGTGCTTTTCAAAATCTTGCGCTGAGTGCTCGCTCAGAAATGTGAGCTCGTGTTGTTTTAAGCCGCAGAACCTTCTGGGTCGGGGTGTCAGGAGCTCAGCGGGTCCTTACGGTGCCGAGCGCCCAAGGGGCCCGCAGGCCAACACGGTTCTGCACAGTCACCATCAAAACCCGACAGCTGAGCCCCAGCTTGACTTCCAACCGCACAAACCACCCGCAGTGGAAACTGAATGTGACACCAGACCCAGGGACTCCCGCCGAGCCGGCCCCCCCCTTACACAGCCCCGACCCCAGGCCGGCCTGTGGGCCCGCAGCTGTTCCCATCCCACCAGGGACAGGAGAGCAGATGGGCGCTCTGTGCTGATGGGAAGGGAAACGCAATGGTCCAAAGACGCTGGCAACAGGGTTACTCCCCCGGTCACGTGGCTGGCTGCACACAGCGTGTTACTCCCGCGGTCACATGGCTGGCTGCACACGGCGCGTGTTACTCCCGCGGTCACGTGGCTGACTGCACACAGCGTGTTACTCCGGCAGTCACGTGGCTGACTGCACACGGCGAGTGTTACTCCCGCGGTCACCTGGCTGACTGCACACAGGGCATTACTCCTGCGGTCACATGGCTGACTGCACAGGGCGCGTGTTATCCCATGGTCACGTGGCTGACTGGCGGCGAGCATAGGCTCTGCCACTGCCAGCATTGGGAGAGTGTGTGACACCCCGCCCACCACTAGCCCGGGGAGAGAGAAAAACTCTGGGTAGGGTTTCTATTGCAAGCACACTGCTTTTGAACCTTCATAAAAAAAAAAATCGTAGTGTGAACCATCTGCGGAGGAACAGAGGTCCTGGCTTTCGGCCCACCAGCCGGGTGCCCCCAGGGAAGCCTGGGCCACGTAATCCACTCACTTGCAACTAGGACAGGCTGAAGGGAGCTGCTGTTTTCCTCTCATGCACCTTCTGTCACCTGCTTCTCTCCCAAGGTAAGTGGGTCCCTCACAGCAGTTTCCTAACGAAGCTGACAACTAACCAGGTGCATGTCGGCGACGGCCCACAAACCTAAGTTACCCAATTACAGCAACTGCTGAGGCTGCCAACTGGGTTTTGTGCACCGGAAACACCAAACCCAGGCCCAGAGAAGGACCTGCTGAAGGTGTGGATGATCACCTTGATATCAGGCAAAGTCTTGGGATCCACAACAGCAGCTGCCATTTCATAAAGGCCCCATAGTCTCAGTAAACAAGTGTCCAACCTTTACACAAAGAAGATCATGTTGGGAGAGGCTGGGAACCCTGCCCAGGGCCCCTCAGGGAACATAACAGGGATACAAACCCTGGATTTCTCCTAACCACCACCTCACTTTTTCTCAGATGTGCCCAAGTGTGTCTCACCCAGAGTCTTCACATTGGCCACCTCCCTACCAGGCCGTCTTTCCCATGTTCCCATCCAGCTCTCAGCTCATGTGTCACCTCCTCAGAGCTGTCTTCCTGCCCACTTCCAAAGCACGCACACTACCCACCCTCCCAAGCAGGCCCCATTGTGTCATTTCTCTTAGAGCACTGACTCATCTCCAAGTCTCTGGTCCAGTAATTACTTACTGTCACCTCTTCACCTCTATAGCAGCCCTGCCCAGGGAATTTGATCGAAAGACATGTCTTAGATCTGCACTGTCCCACCTCGCAGCCACCAGCTGCACATGACCAAGGAACATTTGAAGGAAGGCCAGTCCCACTAAGTTCAATCAGCTGCATGTGCTCTGGAATAAAAGAGGCCAATGAGATGGGCCTCCCCACTTGATTCCTCACCGTAACCCACACCTGAGACAGCGCTAGGCACTCGGGCAGGTGCTCAAGCAGTATTTGTTGACTCAACACGGCTTCAAAGGGCCTTTTAGTCTTCTGCCTGGATTTCCCATTTCTGTCAAATTCCAGAAAATCTCACTGGCACTGAAATTGTGGCCTATGTAGAAATTATCCTGGGAGGATTGCTGCTGCTACAAAGTCCCCACCTGCTTGGGAGTCTGAGCCATGGCTTGAAGTACAGGCCTCAGAGTAAGAGGACATCTAGTTCACACCCCCACCTGCTGCTTCCCAGAGGAGCCAGGCCAGCAGGTGGCATTCCTGCTCCCACGGTAAAGTGGCTCCAGCGGCACTTCCCTGGGGGCTATAGGACTTAAGTCCTAACTTTATACACTTCTAGCCTTTGTAAGCCCTCAAAAGTTAATATTTACACCTATTCAATTCT